GAGTGAGTGCTTCCAGTGTTGTAACCATGCGTGGACGCATACTTGACATAGATGAGTGAGTGCTTCCAGGGTTGTAACCATGCGTGGACGCATATCAATTCATGGTCCATCGATTCTTGGAGCCTTGTTTTTTGATACCTGATTTTCACATTATGATTTGGTCTTTGGAACCTAATTGTGTTGATAAATGAGAAGTGGTCTTATGTATATATTTTTGGGGGTTTTATCAAACATGCTTCAGAAAAAAATTTATTTGAACTTTAAAAATGGCCATAACTATTTGTCTCAAATCTCATTTCCCATTGCCTCCTGAAATATACTCTACTTGCTGTGAATTTACAGAGTAAGTGCATTTATTGATAGAAATACCTGACCTGTTACTATCCTTCAAAAACCATTCTCAGCATTGTTTCTTGTGTATATAAAGTACATAGATGATATTGGCCTGGGAGATATGGTCTTTGGAGTGAGAGAACACTGGGCTTGAATTCCAGGTTAGTCACTTATTTGCTGTGAACAAAATTATGTAACTTTTCTAACTCTTGGTTTCTTCACTTGTAAAATGGAGATAATGCATGTAAATAATGCAATTAATTTTGTCCTTGACATCACAATATGTGAAAACTGTCATTAATTATTTTAATAGTGGTGTAGCACAGTGTAGCTGGAAGGTTAGAAACATGAATTTTAGCCTGTGTTACTGAGGCCTGGATTTGAATCCTTGCCCTTTCTAGTAGCATCAGAAGTTTCTTAGCCTTTTTAGGCTTCTGTTTTCTTCCTTGAGGTTTTGAAAAATATATAATAATGAGAGGATTAAATAATCCATGTATGTACAAACTGAAATTTGCTTAGTAATATTTGCTTGCTAAAGCTCATGCAGGATCCACCTGCACAAACAATGCTCAATCATAAAAATGTCTGGCTACACAGATGAGGGCAGAGAGGGCATCCTACCCTCCCTCAGCAAAGCAAAATGATACGAATGTGCTCAGTGACATCAATGGGCAGTCATTCTCTGCTTTAGTTTATAGTAAATCAAACTGGTACATTCACTTTAATAGTAGCCATACTCATGGGGAATAAATTGAATAGCAAAGATGAGTATAAAGACTAATTACATTGCCAATTTAAAATACAATTAAACCCATGCCGATTATATTTAGTTTTAAGAAATAGCCTGTTATTTTTTATTTACAATGTTTAATTGTATGTTGTTGTTAGGTGAAATCAAGTTGGTTCCAATTGATAGCAACCCTTTGAACAATGGAACAAAGCACCACTCGATCCTGTACCAGTCCCATAATTGTTCTGACATTTGCCTATTGTTGCAGCCACTGTGTCAGTCCATCTGGTTCAGGACCTTCCGCTTTTTTACTCCCCTTCTTTACCAAGCATGAAGTCCTTCTCCAGGCCCTGGTGTCTCCTGACAACACAGTATGTGAGATGAAGTGTCACCATCCTTGCCTCTATGGAGCATTCGGGCTTCTCTTCCTGTAAGACAGATTTGCTTGTCTTTTGGCAGCCCATAGCACTTTCAGTATTATTCACCAGCACCATAATTGTGGGGAATTAACACCGAGGGAAATATGATGAGGACTGTATTTCCAACTTATAACAGAGGGAATCTGGAAAGCTAGTATTCCGTGCTAAGAAAGCCAGTACTTTGGTAAGTCAGAGGTAAAGTCCAAGGTACATGGTCCTGCTTGAAATATTCCCACAGATTCTCCCTGAACAGCTATGCTGCCTTAAAGTGAGCATATGGTTGATTTTATCTTCCTGTAGAAGCAGACGGTCTGTTACTACTCCTACCTTCCAGGTATTAGGTTTGCACACCTGTGAGCTCAGGGACCTTATGTAGATCCCTCCCACCTTGTGACTTATGTGGCTACTGCATGTCTTATGGCTCCCTATAAATATCCCAAGACGGGCAAGGTTCTCTCTTCTCTTCTCACACTTCCACATGGACCATCAAGAGGGGCTGTGGTGAGGATGCTACCATAAATTGTGTCTGACTCCTTTATTATATTCGCTCTCCTATCCTATCCTCTATGACTTAACTCTGATCTTTATATATTATAAACATACAATTGCGCCTACTGACCTTTTGGTTGTTAGAGGCTGGTTTACTCTAACACACAATTCCAATGCATCGGTTTTACTTCAGTTTCCCTTATTCAGTGTTCAACTTTGACATGAATATGAAGCAATTGAAAATACCATGGTGTGAGTATGTGCAATTTAGTCCTCAAAGTAATATCCTGGCTTTTTGATTCTTTAAAGGGTTCTTGTGCAGCAGCAGACTTACTCCATGCACTGCATTATTTGATCTATTGACTGCTGCTTCCATAAGCGTCGATTGTGGTTCCCAAGCAAGACAAAATCCTTGACAACTTCGATCTTTCCTCTATTTACCTTTGGTCAAGCTGGTTTTCTTTACATTGGGGTGCAATATGCAGGCTGTGATCCTTGGTCTTCCTAAGCCAGGGTTTCAAGTCCTCACTTTCATCAAGCATGGCTGTGTCATCTGCATATCATAGGTTGTTAATAAGCCTTCCTCCGATCTTGATGTTGCATTCTTCTTTGGAATTTAACTTTATAATCTTTATACATGCTTTTCTCTTCTGAATCACCGAGCCACTTTAATGTTGTCAGTGCCGTATACATGGTTTTAAGACTTCTGAAGATAGTTTTGGCTTAAAATTTAAAGATTATCTCAGGACAGTAGCTTCCAGGGGCTCATTCAATCTCCAAGACTCCAGAAAGGCTGGAGTCCATGAAAGTTTGCAATTCTGTTCTGCATTTTCTCCCCTTTGATCAAGAATCTTCTCTAGAGCTTTTCATGAAAATGTTCAGTAATAGTAGCCGAGCACCAACCATCGAGCTCCATCACTTGTCTGTCAAAAGTTGAAAAATTACCAGGGCAGCAATGAAGAGAAAGACCTTTGACAAGATGGAATGGCACAGTGACTGTATCAGCGGGCTCAAACATAAGAGCAAATGTGAGGGTGGCACAGGGCTGGGCAGTGCGTGTGGTTGTGTTGCATGCGGGGTTGCTGTGTGACAGCATGCACACAGCAGCAGCAGCGCCACCACCACCCAGTTCTGCTCTCACGGCAAAGGAGGCAGTGGTTCGCAGAGGCAGTTAGGCACACATTCTCTGTTCTCTTCCTATTTCTCCTGTTGCTCTAGGTGAATAGAGACCAAGCTTTGCACTATTGCTATAAAACCTTTTAGAAGAAGCTAAAGGGAAAAAGAAATCACATTTGAAAGTTGAGAAATGACTACTCACTTTACTATGTTCATTGTATTCTTTATTTTTTGTTTCAGATTTAACTCATTTAAAAGGACTCAAGTTATACTGCAGCATTTGGTAAGTTTAGACTTCATTTTATTGGCATTATTAGATTATGATTTGTCACTTTGAATGTTACAAGTTAGATTTGGAGCTGGCAGATTTTGTAGGTGTTTGTTACATATGGTTCATAATTTAAAGTCTTGGCACATCTGTCTTCTAGTAAGTGGCATGAGGTGGTGGCCAAGGTCATAGATCTTCAATCTGGTTGGATTTGAACCAAGGGAACGTGGCTCCAAAGGCTTAATTTCTTAACTATTGACAGTGGGTATTCAATAACTACTGCAGAATCTGTCCCAGCTAAATCTAAGTGGAAATGAGGGTGTAAAGACTTCTTACTATTATTTGTTTTAATCACTTGACGGACATGGGACTAAGGAGTTTTCCTGGGAAAAGAACTTGGAGCAGTGTCAACAATTCATGTTCAGACATGTATACAGATGGAATAGGATGACATGACAGAATCCTGATTGTGTGGGGCTTGGGACCTGGGACCTGTGGCCGAAACCACTTTGAGGGAAGAGAGAAATGAACTCTTTCAGGGCCTGAGGGCTGGACAGTTTAGGGGCCTCTTGTTGGTTTGTACATGTGCTTCAGGGATGATAGAAAGGCTGTCCTCTAAGCAGTTCTTTTGTGATCCTACTATAAACCAAAAACCAAATCCACTGCTGTTGAGTGGATCCTGACGCACCATGGCCTTATAGACAGAGTGGAACTGCGCCACTGTTTCCAAGACTAGCAATCTTTATGGAAGCAGATGGCCTCATCTTTGTCCTGTGGAGCACTGGCTGCTGGCTTTGAACCACTGACGTTTTGATTAGCAGCCAACACTTACCCCAGCACACCACCAGGGCCAATTCTGCTCTAAGAGCCAATAAACCCAGTGGGGGAGAGAACTTTTTATTTTTCATAGTGGAGTGCTGGAAATAGGCCATTGGTGGCAGTATTGCAGGCAGGCGTAGGAAAAATGGATAGGATTGCTTTGTAATAATATTGTGACATCCTAGTGACATTTCCAAAATCTAGGTGAGGAATTGAACCCATCAAGGATGCCAAGCGTATGGTCCTCACTTCTGCAGATGGGGATTTCAAGCTTTATGAAAGCTGGTACTTATTAATGAGGCTTCCTTTCTATCCACACACTGATTTGGAGATATTCTTACTACAGAAATATCCATGGAAGGATTCCCCATAATGTTCTATGGGGTACTTGAAATATTAAGTCACATTTTAACCTAATATATAAAAGTGTGTTTTTTCCATGTGATTTTGACCTGGATTGAAAAACTTCTCTTCCCTACCCAAAAGCAGTTCAGTGTATTCTGAAGGTATTGGTTGGACCACACGCATTAATATTGTACCTATTGCTTTCATGATAGCAACCAATTCTTACCCTGTATGGACAGATGATGGCCTAGAGTCAATATCAACTGATCTATAATCTATGCCGTTTGAATAGAGCCTGTTTAAGTGCTAGCTTTGTGTATACACTTAATTAAGCACTTTGAGGTTTCATTTTGAACAGCAAAGTTCCTTGCATTAAGAAATAATATAGTAAACCTAGAAATATATACCAATAAAATATGGTAAACAGACCAAATAAGAAGTATGGTAATTATACTGACTTTTTATCCAATAAAAACGTCTTGGAGGATGTCTCATTTATTTCATATGGGCCCTCATGGCTTCCTGGCCCATAGAGGCCAAAGGACCAAAGAGAGAGACACTTGGCTGGTGGCTGAGGAGAAGCCACGCTGTGGGCAAAAAATTGTATATCCTTAATATTTTCTGATCTTGCCTTATGGTAACTTGTTAACTTCTCTCATAAATCCCCAAAATTGTGAGCATTGTCTATGGATTCTATGTGGCTATTGCAAGGGGTTATGAACTCGCAGAAAAGGAGAGTGTCAGGAGAAGGAACAGCTGGTGTCAGAGTAGTCGAAGAAAGATGGAGGATGGTGGCTGTCAGCCTTACGCTGGTGTGGACATGGGTTCTTCTCCCTGCTGAGGCTAGAGGAGGTCAGATGTAGCCTCCACACCATTTTTAGCACCATTAAAAATCCAAAGCACGTTTTCATAACTGCACAGTTTAACTATGGATGCATCTTGAATTAAATTTATACTTTATATATATACACGCACATAGACATATCTCTGTGTATAGACATTTATATAGAGAGACATTGAGACTACTCAAGCAAAACACGCACCAATTTAATAGTTTTTACATGTACAATTCTGCGATTTGTTTACATTTTGGGAGTTATACAGTCATTTTTAAGTTTTAGATCATTTTATTGGGGCTCTTACAACTCTTGTTATAATGCATAGATCCCACTATCATGACCCCAGTGCCACTTCCCACTCTGGACTAGATAGGAAGCTATAGCTATAGGCAAGAGATAAAACACGACATATCTGGGGTCTTAAAGGCTTGAAGATAAACAAGCGGCAAGCTGAGAAGCATCAAAGTCCACATGGAAGAAGCATACCAGACTGTCTGACCACGAGGTGCAGAAGGGACCAGTTATCAGACATCAAAGAACTAAAAATCAGATCAGTGTGTGCCCACCTTCCTGATATGATCACTGAAGACAAACATGTGCATAAGCAAAGGTAGTGAAGAAAGCTGATGGTGCCCGGCTACCAAAAGATATAGCGTCTGGGGTCTTAAAAGCTTGAAGATAAACAAGCGGCCAACTAGCTCAAAAGCAACCAAGCCCACATGGAAGAAGCACACCAGCGTGTGTGACCATGAGCTGTCGAAGGGATCAGGTGTCAGGCATCAAGGAACAAGAAATCATGTCATTGTAAAGGTGGGTGATTGCAGAGTGGAGGCTCAGAGTCCATCGGTTGGCAACAGAACACCCCCCTGCTGAGGGGTTGTGGGGAGGAGATGAGCTAATTAGGGTGCAGGGTAGCAACGATGAAACATATAACTTTCCTCTAGTTCTTTAATGCTTCCTCCCCCCCAATATCATGATCCCAATTCTGCCTTACAAATCTGGCTAGACCAGAGGATGTACATTGGTACAGATAGCAACTTGAAACACAGGGAATCCAGGATAGATGACTCCTTCAGGACCAGTGGTGAGAGGGGCGATGCCTGGAGGGTGAAGGGAATGTGGGGTAGAAAGCGGGAACTGATTATAAGAATCTAAGTATTGCCTCCTCCCTGGGGGATGGACAGTAGAGAAGAGGGCGGAGTGAGAAGTCAGTGTAACTTATGAAGGGTTCAGGAGGGAGGGGGAAGTGGGGAGAGGGGGAAAATGAGCAACTGATATTAAGGGCTAAAGTAGAAGGCAAATGTTTTGAGGATGATGAGCGAGCCCCCAATAAAATAATTAAAAAAATAAAATAAAATGAGTTGTGTAATCACACACACAAAAACACCACATATGCAGCCATTCCTGCCCTCCTCCTCTGAGTTGTTCCATCTCCATTAATGTAAGCTCAGTGACCCATAAGATACCTGTCTGATATTTTGGTTGCTGTTGTTAATTTATCTATAGATAGTTCTTAAATGAGCATAATGCTCAAGACAGACTTTTTTTTCCTTTGAACCAGATAAGCTACAGTACTGTTTTGTTTGCAGAACACTTCAGGGGATATATATACGCCATATACACTCGAGTATAAACCGACCTGAATACCCGCTGAGGCACCTAATTTTACCCCAAAAACTGCATTAAAAGTGTGCTAAAAAACTCGGCTTATACTCAATTATGTACGGTATATATATTTTATTAAAAGATCATTTTATTGAGGGCTCTTACTGCTCTCATAACAATCCGTACGTCAATTGTATCAAGCATATTTGTACATATGTTGCCATCATTCTTTTCTAAACATTTACTTTCTGTTTGAGCCCTTGGTATCAGCTCCTCTTTTTTCCCTCCCTTCCCCCCTCCCACCAGGGAATATTTTTCATTTAGGTTAAAGATTATCTGAGGGTAATAATTTTAGGGGTCTCTGTAGCTAGCCTCCATCCTCCAGAAAGTCTAGAGTCCATGCAAGTTTGAAATTTTCTTTTTCACTTGTTCCCTTTTGATCAGGGTTCTTCTACGGAATCTAATAGAAAAGCCCAGTACCAGACACCACAGATCACTTGGTCTCATGGTGAGGGAGGCAGTTGTTCATTGAGGCAGTTAGATAGAAGTCTTCAATGGATTGTGGTTGCTTTCCATACGGATTGCAGTTCAAAACAAAAAACCTCACAAATGGACCAATTCATGGAAGCCGCACTCAAGAAATCAACATATTGAATCTGGAGGCGGGAATGCTATTAGCGCTTACATTTTTAACACCCAGTTTGCAGAAGCCTGCGGATGATAGTGAAAACCCAAAACCCATTTGCAGAATTACTCCTCAGATGATGAATCAATCCCCTCTAAGGACCAGACAGAACACACTGTCAGGTGGATCACTGCAATTGTAGTTAGATCAGAATGACATTGATCACTCTCTTGACTCACTGTATAATTGCTCCGGTTTTTTAATACTTTTTCTGCTTCATTGCCAATTGAAGTGTTCCTTTGTTTCATTGTGGCACTATTGTTGGGTCCTTTTTTTGTCGTGATTTTGTACGATTCTCTGTGTATGAAACCCAGATGAGGTAAACCTATTGAGACAACTGGATCAGCAGATTCAAAGGGACTTAACGGGAGGCTAGCAGGAAATGGGGAGCTAATAACCATAAGTACAGGGAAGAAGAAATGCCCTGGAATTGTTTGTGATGATGATGCGTAACGCTTATGAATGTGAATGAACTATTGAAATGTATGGTATGTGATTTGTCTCTGAAATTGTTACAAATAAACTAATTAAAAAAAAAGAAATCAACATAGCATTGGGCAAATGCGCACAAGGCCTATTTAAAGTGTTAAGGTGCGCTTGGCCCAAGCCTTGGCATTTTTAAGTACTTTGAATGCATGTGAAAGCTGGAAGGTAAGGGGAATTGCAGAATTGGTGTGTTTGAATTATGGTGCTGGTTAAGAATATTGGAAGTACCATGGACCACCAGGGGAACAAAGAAATGTTTTGGAGCAAAGGCAACCAGAAAGCCCCTTGGAAGCAAGAATGGCAAGATCATCTCATGTATCTTGCCCCTGTTATCAGGAGGCACCGTACCAGTCCCTGAAAAAGGAAAGGACATCATGCTTTGTCTAGACCAGTGGTTCCCAACCTTCCTAATGGCGTAACCCTTTCATACAGTTCCTTATGTGGTGGTGACCCCCCAGCCATAAAATTGTTTTCATTGCTACTTCATAACTGTTATTTTGGTACTGTTATGAATCAGGTGACCCCTGTGAAAGGTCGTTCGACCCCCCAAAGTGGTCGGGACCCACAGGTTGAGAACAGATGGGCTGATGCAGTGCCTGCAAGAATGGGCTCAAACTTGACAGTTGTGAAGATGTTGTAGAACCAAGCAGTTTCATTCTGCTGTACACCTGGTTGCTGTGAATAGGAGCTGACTTACTTGGTGACACCCAGCAATAAAACTTGGAGGCAAGGATGGCAAGACTCCATCCCTGGAGAAGTGCATCATGCTGGTTAAGGGGGAGGGGCAGTGGCAGAGGAAGGCCCGCATGGAGATGGATTGACACAGTGGCTTCAACAATGGGCTCAAGCACAGAAATAATTGGGAGGGTGGTGCAGGACTGCACAGCTTCAATATGGTAGCAATGCCTTGTAGAGCTTTGGATGTTGGCGTGTACCAGAAACGTCGTGGTGTTTATCACGTTATTCTTGGCTTTCCCCAGGGAATGTTCAAACACACCGATGCAGTAGAAGAGGTGCTGATGGAAAGAAAAGGTTGTGCAGGAGTGATTACGCTCAACAGACCCAAGTTCCTGAACGCACTGTCTCTGAATATGGTTCAGCGGATTTATCCACAATTAAAGGTTTGTAACTTTCTTTATGTTTTTTTAAAAAAGTATATCTTAATAGGAGATTTCTGTTCCTCTTTCCCAAAGAATCAGTGGACTGTGCAGGCTCGGTGCCCGGGCTCTGCTGGGTTGGGCCCTCTGTGCTTTCCTAAGCGGTGATCCTTCAGCTCTGTGCGGGACGGAGTTCATGGGACACTTGTACATAACCCTGCAGTTTCTGCTTGTTTTCTGCCTCTCTTCTTAGTTTTTTTTTTTTTTTTCCAGATACCAATTACCCATTTTTATTTTAAAATTTACATTACTTATTTTGTCTATGACATGAACTCAGATTTTCACTCACTTATTGATACAACACAGCGATCCATTTATATATGCATTTGGGTTAAAATCAGATTCGTCTATATTAATTAGGATTCCACAATCTCCGTATTCATGATTTCCTGCAGGATAAACTTTTTTGCTATACGAAGTGGATATTTTTCTCAACTCTCTTGTCCCATTAAAGTATCAGTTTGTCCCATGGGCTTTGTGGACTATAAAACAAAATGCAACTGGAACCTGGAGGCACAACCACCGTCACTGGATTCATAAGGACTGCACCATTCACCATATTGATACGGCTTCTGTGCTGTACAAATCCTATGTTGCCACTTGATTCCTTTCTGTAGATAGGCTGTCCCACAAGAATTCCATTCTTATTTTTACATCTTTCTTTTAAAAATAATGACAGGTCGCAAATTAGTTCCATTAGCCATGACAGAACACCTGTGAAATGGTTTTTTTCATTCCCTGTGGTACTGAGTAAAATAGTTTTGTCTCCCAAACTTGCCACAGTTCTGTTGCTTGGAAGATCAAAGGTCATGGGTGTTTCATCCATATTGCCAATATCTCTGAAGTCCTAGTTATGGATCCTTCGTTTTAGGATGAACGAATGGAATGACATCACTTTTGCATCAAGGTCTTTTGGCAACTTCTGTGAAATCTTTGTTCTTTGCCGCAAACATAGGGCAAACCTATTCATGAAACGGGTACACCATCCTGCTGATGCAACAAAATTTTCAATGCCTGGCACTTGTAATTTTTTGTCTTTAGCCATTTGAAGGGCATGTAAGCGAATTCCCATGCGTGTTATGCAGTAACCATTTTGACGACACTCCATAACCCATCTATGCAATTCACTCTCTAGAGCCCCATATGAAGTCGTTAAACCACGTCGAGCTCTTTTTGCCTTTGGAATCTTTTCCAAGTCAGCTTTCATTTTCCGCCACTCCCTCACTTGTTTTACATCAACACAAAATTCCCTACTTGCAATACTGTTATTGCTTTCTTCTGCTCTTGACACAACTTTAAGTTTGAAACCAGCTTCATATGACCTGCGTGTTTGTTTTGGTTCAGGATTAGAAGTATTGGGATCCATTTCAGTATGAATGCGTTGATGTACGGTAAGACTGCTCTTCTCTGTGAAACCTTTTCCACAATCAGTACATATATGGGGTTTCTGTGCAATATGAGTTAGCTTATGAGTCCTGAGAGTAGTGTTTCTGGTAAAGCCTTTCCCACACTCACTGCATACATAGGGTGTCTCACCAGTATGAGCTCTTTGATGTACAGTGAGATAGAAATTTTGGGTGAACCCTTTTCCACATTGATTACATGTATAGGGTTTCTCACCAGTATGAGTTCGCTGATGGAGAAGAAGCATTCTCTTCCCTATGAAGCCTTTTCCACAATCAGTGCATGTATGGGGTTTCTCTTGACTATGAATCCACTGATGAGCATTGAGAACATCTTTACTGGCGAAGCCTTTATCACACTGACCACACATATAGGGTTTTTCACCTGTATGGATTCGCTCATGGATATTGAGGTCTCTCTTCTGTACATAGCCTTTTCCACAGTAACTGCACACATGGCGATTCTCTCTTCTATGAATTCGCTGTTGAGTGGTGGGACCGATGTTCTTTTTCTGAAGCTGAATGTATCGTGATTTAAGGCGATCAGATTTTTTACGCTCAGAGAATTCCATGTCAGTACAAAATTGCTCTTGGTCAGCACAGAGAAAAGTCTTCTCACCTCCAGTAAGCACAATAGACTTCTTTATTTTATTGCTTCTGCTCTGGTTGGCTCTTGGTACAGTTAACATTGATTTCACAGCTTTTTCATGTAGGTCAGATATCCCATGATTTTCCATAGTAAGAAAATTATTTTTGTGCTGATGAACATTTTCCAACACATGAAAATCATAGCACTGTCCCATTCTCTCCAGTCTTCTTTCTTTTTGTGAGCACTCAAGCGAATGTTCATCAGCTTTCCAGATTTCTGAACACATCCCACCACAGCTTTTTTCTAATACGAATCCTGGTGGTTCTCCTCGTTCCATCCAAGAAAACGCATCAGGTTTGCTAACTTCATAACCAATGGAAACCAGGTGGCGGTGGGTCTCCAACATCACATCCTGATATAGGGTCTTCTGAGCAGAGTCCAGCAGTTGCCACTCCTCCCAGGTGAACTTTATAACCACGTCGCTGAGTGTCACGGATTTCTGTGCGTTGATCATTTTTTTGGTCTTTAGGGCACTGTCAGAAGCAGAGGTGTTCTATCTTTGATTTTACTAGATCCGCTCCAACTTTGTTCAGAGAGCTCTGTCTCTCATGATGCAATAATCCCCAAACCAGGCACCTCCTCTTCCTTCGTCCCAGAGATTCTCTCTCTTGTGGCTGGAGATTCAAAACCTGTACAGCTTGCTTCCCACGAGGTCCCGGGCTGCCCCCAGTTTTTTGATCTTGAAAGCAACGCTACCGCTTCTCCTTCGTGGCGCACAATGGGACATGTCCAGTTTGCTTCCCTTTGTGGCCGTTATGATTTGAAAGACAACTGTGGGAAGTTTTCAGCTTTTCTCCTGTCTTTGAGAAGCTCTGATGCTTTTGGAAAACTTAGGACTTACGACAGATTATTTGTGTGTGAAGCTCAGATTTCTATTGACTATCTGTGCAAGTTGGAAAAGAGAATTACTCTGTGCCTCACTTTCCGCATCTGTAAAATGGAGATGATGTTCTATAGCCAGCACTGAATGTGCTCTGCCAGTGTGAACAGTCCTGGTTCATCCACCACCACCCACCCGTTCCTTAATGTATTTGATGACCCTTCCATTCTGGCGTCCCTGATGGGGACTGCAGTGTGAGGCAGACAAACTCAACACCTGACTCACAGCAACCTTGTGTGTCCAGTATAAATGCTCCACAGGATTTTCAGTGTTTTTTTGGAAGTAGGTTCCTAGGCCTTTCCTTCCTGGTAAAAAAGCCAGTGAACTTGAACCACTAATATTTTGATTGGAAGTTGTATTAACCATTTGCTTCAACCAGGACGTTGATACGTGAAGTCTCCCAGGTGAGACTTGGTCTAATATGGAGGAGAGCAGAAGCTTCTGTTAGGTGATGACCACCTCACTGTCGATGCACTTCGGCGTGACATTGACCTTCCCATTCACTAGATCTGTTGAGCTGTATCGCTTTGTGTGTCTACATTTTGTTCTTGAGTGTAGAATTATAGAGCCCTCTGTTTCTGTTTAGTCTTTTGATCATTTGTTCTATCAGTTTGCATTCTTATTGGATTTTGATTCCTACATGCTATTTATTAGCAGCCCTTTCTAACCTCAAATCATTTGCAGATTTGCTCAAGTTTCATTATCATGCCTTTAAAATGTATAAGTAAAATAAATAAATAACATGTATAAGTACATAGAGCCCTGTGCTATCACAGTAGAAAGGTTGTAGTGCTCTGTCAACCATTTGGAGGCTGATTTGTTCACCAGATTGACAAGTTTATGTAACATAATTTTATTAAGATCATATTTATTCACTTTGTTCTAAAGGTTAGTGGGCAAAGATGCCATCATACAGTTTGGATCATCAAATCTCTTTTCCCTTAAACACTTCTAGCAACTTTCATAGAATAATGTCTCATTTTGACAGAAAAAAAAAAGTTGGAACTCCTCCTTCTGGATGGATGTACTTTACAAAAGAATACCCATGTTGACACATACATGCATGTATTTTTAATGCATTGATATTTATAAATATGAGAAGAAAGTATCTATTTCTGAAAAAATCAGCCAGGGAAGAAACCCTGTGGATCTCAGTAGTCTGATTTTATTTTATAGGGTGTCATCATGAATTGCAGGCTGACTTGATGTCAGCTAACAGCAATTTGCAATATGCTGATACTGTCTTCTTTTACATTTGGGTGTAGAAGTGGGAGCAAGATCCAGAAACTTTCCTGATCATTATAAAGGGAGCTGGAGAGAAGGCTTTCTGTGCTGGTGGTGATATCAAAGGTAAAAAATGTTCGCCTCATCTAAACGGTGTTCTCTGTCCCGTCCCCAGTAGATCTGATAAAGCATTAGCAGAATTTTTGTGGTACTCTGTAATTTACTTTTCCTTTTTAGACTTTTTGAGAAAAAATAAATTTAAAGATTTACCTTTCATAGTTAACAGTTGATAAATGAAGGAAATACCAATTTTTGAAAAAAAATCTACATACTGTATATACTCGAGTATAAGCCGGTCTGAAAAATCAGCCGAGGCACCTAATCTTACCACAAAAATCTGCATTAAAAATGTGCTGGAAAACTCAGCTTATATGCGAGTATATATGGTAGTATACTTTTGAGATATATCTATCTTGTTTCTTTTCTTGAATTATCTTTAATTAAATATCTGGGAATAGTATGTGAGTCCACTGAATTTTATGTAGAAAAGATGATATGAAACGAACTTTAGTGGCACTGTTCATTGAGCACTGGACTGCTAATCACAGGGTCGGCAGTTCAAACCCACCAGCTGATCCGCAGTAAAAAGATGAGGCTATCTGCTCCCATGAAGATTTACAGCCTCCGGAACCCTGTACTGGGTCGCTATGAATCGGATCCGATTCAATAGCCATGGTAAGCAAGTTCTGCTGATCACAAAGCTGCACTTGGGCTACGTTGAATGACTGACATTTTCCAAATCTGACCTGTTCTCATATATTCCCATGACTGGTGTGCTTTCTCTTTGTGATTTTTCTTCCGTGCACTGTTGAGCTCTTTGTTATCTTCTAAGGTTCAGCTCACATGTCCTCTGATATCTTGTCTCTCCCAAGGAGAGGGAGGGGGACTGTCCCCCTCCACACCGCCAGATCCGGGCGCCTCTCTCTGTGAATGTGTGTAGCAGTTTTTATATACTTATATTTACGTGCCAAAATCTCCTTACGAGCAAGGATTATGCCTTAATTAAATTTCTATCTTTGGTGCTCAAAAGGAACCCTGGTGGTGTAGTGGTCAAACATTGAGCTGATATCCATAGGGTCAGCAGTTCAAAACCACTAGCAGCTCTGTGGGACCAAGACTGGGCTTTCTACTCCCGTAAACAGTTCCAGTCTCAGAAACCTAATTCTAATCTAGGAATCTAATTCAGGGGGGTCACTATGAATCGGCATTGACTCAATGGCAGCGAATTTGGTTTGGTGGGTGCTTAACATCCCAAACAAGAATTAAACTCTGTTGAATCAAAAGCAACTCCTAATGACCCCCTAGGACAGAGTAGAGTTTCCAAGACTGTAAATATTCACAAGGACAGGCAGCCTCATATTTCTGCTGCAGAGCAGCTGGTGAGTTTGAACCATTGACCTTGCAGTTAGCAGCCCACTGCTTAGCCCAATGTGTCAGCAGGACTCCTTTGGTGCATACTCACTTTGAATTCCCATTTGGGGGGAATAATTTTAAATGTGAGGATTCAACTAATTCTTTTATAACTTTTTGAAGAAAGTAGTCCTGTAGCATTATAAAAAGAGTAGCTTTTATCTTTCAAATGTGTCTAACGGGGGAAAACTGTCTATATGTTAAAAACAAAAGAGAAATAATGTTTTCAGAATCAAAATCATGCTTATTGTTGTTACCACTGATTGTACTTTGTACATGGAAAAACAGTTTTCAGAGTTTGTATTTTGTTTGTTGTATAATTGATTAGGTCTCAGGATAATTTTTTCCTTGTATTTTCATTTTATATTTGGCCTCTCTTTTTTATAGAGTACTAAAACAGCAATCTGTGTTGAATTTGTTCACTAAATTTACAAGTCTATATAAAATGTTACCGTTGGACTAGGAAGAAAAAATCTTCCTGGTTCAGGATGATATGCAACAACTCGTAAATTATTGAGTTTAGAAATTGTAGTTTCATAGAAACTGATTACTTAGACTGAATTAACAGAATTGCTTTTGAATTTATTTTTTGCTCACAAGTAGAATTTTTTCAAAGCATGGTTTTCTGCCTTGAATTAATCTTTAGGGTGAAGACAGTTGAAGAAAGGGTCTTGTTAGTTTTCAAAGAGGCAGAGATTATGCAGACAGGACTTAGCTGGAGCTATTTTTCCATACAGGTCTAATTTTATACTGCCGTTAAAAATAAGGTTTTAACTTTAGAATTATTCTTGTTTAGATTTATAAAGCAATGGAATCTAATTCAAGGAGATCTTACATATCGAAGTTCAAGGCAATAAGTAGGCACTGCAGTGGTTACACATGGGGCTATGATCTGCAAGGTCGCCAGTAGGAAATTGCCAGCAGCTCCAATAGAGAAAGACTGGGCTTTCTACACCTGTAAACAGCTGTACTTTTGGAAACCCACTCGATAGCGGTGAGATTGGCTTTGGAGTTTGGCCCAACCAAACCCGCTGCCACTGAGTTGATTCCAATTTATAGCAGCCCTATATAGGGTTTCCAAGACTGTACATCTTCATGGTAGCTAATAAGCCTCATCTTTGTCCTGAAAAGTGTCTGATGGGTTTGAATTGCTGACCTTGTGTTCGGCAGTGCCGCACTTGCCTGACAGTGCCACCAAATTAAAAACAATTGGTATTATGAATGCTATTTAATTTACACAAATTTACAATTGCTTTCACTAATTGAAAAGGTGATTACAAGGAAAATCTAGTAAGGTTTTAGGGTTTAAAAAATTTTTTTTTCAAAGCCAGTACAACTTGCATTCTTTTCCCTTGAGAACTGGTAAGAGCATTGATAACATTTCTAGCATGTACAGTGAAAACTTTGGAATGAAAACATTATCAGATTTTTCTTTTAAAAACTGGAAAAATCAGTCAACATTTGGAAAGGTTTCAAAGAATATAAATCAGAATTCTAAAGAGTTACCCTAAAAATCTAGGTAGTCAGTGCTCTTCTATGACTCTTCCCGGTAAAGCAGAGACATGTCTGAGCAGGCTTCCAAACGTCTGTGAAGAACTTCATTATCTTGCCTGAGTGTCTGTGTAGGTACTGCTTGCTCTGCTTAAAACTGCACCCTGCTGTTTTGTCGGAAATCCCGACCTGTCTGTTCAAACTTGGCTCACTCTCACCTTGTTTGTAGCCACATTGTAGTTACTGCTCTCCTGTGCCCATTCCCACAATATCCATTTTTATTGTGGGCATAGCTCAAAGAGTATATTACCATGGGAGTGGTTGTAGTAGTGTGTCTTCTCATTCCTTCGAACTGCAGGACGGCTACCTTCAATGGCTGCCTTGTTGTCTGCAACAAGGGAGTGTGTGGCACGGAGTCGATGTGCAGCCATGCTTTGGGATGAAGTAGATGGCAGAACTCCTTAACTAGATGTAATACACTGTGTGTACAAGGTGAACTTTTGGATCCAAGTTGTATTATTGAAGGAAAAGAATATCCAGCAAATACTTTTTAAGAAGCTAGAGGAAGCTGTCAAGAGTCTACAGTTTGTAGCACTTTATAATTTATAACTTAAATATAATACTTTGTAAGAAATTCTTTGTATAAACGTTTACCATGAGGCTTTGGTATAATCAAGGAACTATTTGAATATTTAGTTGAAAACTCCTTTTTAACATTTGCATTTGTACCTGACTTACTATTTTTCTCTCAACTGTAGCGGTCTCAGAAGCTGGAAAGATGAAGCAGAAGCAGAGTCAAGATTTCTTCAAGGCAGAATATACCGTGAACAATGCTATTGGTGCGTGGGCTCTGCCGGGACTGTGAAAGGGGGCTCAAGGAACAAGGGTGCTTTGTTTCAGACTGTAATCAGTAAGGACACTTACGGAATCCCCCGGCTGGTCTCCATGGTTAGCTGTGACTCCTGCTCTCACTGAGCAGAAGTCCACTGGAGAGAGAGACAGTAAACAAATGTCAACAGCCCTGCTATCATGCAGAATGCACTGGAAAGTGGATGCTATTTTTGCTAATAACCAGGGATCATCAAACAATTCATATTTTTATATTGGTTGGCTATAGTTAGGTGCTTTTTTTATCATAAATTTAATACAAAAGCAGGATTTCTTCTGATCACATGGCTTTTTGAAAATAACACTTTGTTTTGTTTCAATATTCTTTATAAAATGAAATATCTTGAAAGCCTGTGGAATGAAAGTTTTGTTGAGATGCCAGCTTATTGGAAGTCAATCATTCTTTCATCACTTGTGTATTTAAAAACTTAAATAGTAGTAGAGAATACATAATAAATACTTATGAAGGATTTCATAAGTACCCCTAAGCCCGAATTAACACATTCCTGCTTGGTTTTTGCTTGATGTGCCAAGACATCTTTGATGGAAATGTAATCTCGATGTTTAAGTTGCATTGTTTCATTGTTCTCAGTACCATTTCTTCCTCCCCACACTATCCCCAAAAGCAGAAATTACCAATACTTTGTAGTGTGTCCCACTACATGCTTTATATTTTTACACATTTTACACATTTACACTTTTGTGAACAAAATGTGTTTCTGAAATTTATATAAGCCTATCTTAGTGTATATACAATTTCATATTCTGTAAGAACATGGAATGTAACTAATTGTTCTATAGTATTTAATAACTACCTAATTTATAATATCATTTACTAGTTTACAGTGGTGGGTAGTGTAGGTTATTTCCTATTTTTATTAGTACAAATTACACATCCCCTTGTATGGCTCCTTGGTATCCATGAGCGCAAACTTCTCCTGAGTTTTTAGAAACCGATCTGGTGCATAATATGCAGAGCTTCAGACGTCTTCAGTTTGTTCTAAGTACAAGGCTTTCCCCCTTTATGTCCTTTCCATCATTATTAAAATTTTCATGTAATAGATGAACATTTTTGGGCTTTGATTTGAATTTCCTTGAACACTAGTGAAGTAGAAGGTATTTTCTTATGTCCTTGTGTTTCTGTCCTTTGTCCATTTTCCTGTCAGGTTGCTTGTCTTTTTGTTGCTGGTTACATAGAAATTGTTTATTCTGGATATTTAGGTTTTGTAGGTAGTATATGCTACAGGTATACTTCTTTTTGTCTGTCACTTTATTTTAAATTCTGTTATTCTGTTTTGACACTTACAAGTGTTTTTTTGATGCCATTAAATGTTCTCATTTGATTTACACTTTTTTGCACCTTGAAAATCCCAGCTTTTTCCATTATGTTGAGATTAAGATAGTCTTATATTCTAAAATTATATATGTTTTATTTACTTATAGTCTAGGTCTTTAATACTCTTGGACATTTTCTGCCTGTGATATCATCTAACTTTTATTGTCTGTATGGAAACCACATGCCATAATCTTTTCATTGGAAGGTTCTAAGAAGCCCTGTACTTGGGGTAGAACTGTGATCGGACAGAGACTGTAACTCTTTGGGGAGTAGCAAGCCTTGTCTTTCCCCCACTGAGTGGCAGTGGTTCTGAAATGCTGGTCTTGGGGTTAGCAGTCCAGCACATACCCCACTGGACCTTGAGTTGGAGTCGACAAGGTGGCAGGGAGTGCAAGAAAGACCTTGGTGGTGGTGTAGTAAGCGGTGGACTCTCAATGGCAAGTTCATCTTCCTTGGCTCTTTATAGCCTCTGAAACCCTATTAGATAAGGTCACTGTGAGTCAGAATTGGCATGGTGGCCATGGAATTCCTTCCTCACTGCTACTAATGACATGTCTGTTATCTATCCACTTCTTAAACAAATTAGGTCTGTTTCTTGGGTATTGTGTTCATTGGTCATTTTGCCTGTGCTTAAGTTGAAACAACACTGTCACTATAGCTTTAAAGCATGTCATTGTCCAGTAGAGCAATTTAGTCTTGTTCAAGAATTGTCTAGGCTACTGTTGGATATCAATTTTAAAATTGTCCTATCTCATTCCACAAAAGATCCTATTGAGATTTTCATTGGCATGACAACGAATTATAGTAATTTAAGGGGAATTGACATATTTGATAGTGAGTTTTCCCATCCATGAATATGACACGTTATTTCATTTATTCACAGACTTAAGCAAACCAAAGCCTTTTGGAGTCAAAATTTACATTCCATAAAATTCACCCATTTATCATGAAGCTGGAATTGTACAACCATCATTATAAAGCATTTTTAGAATATTTTACACATTGCAACTAATTGATGCTGTTTCTTTTCAGGTTCTTGCCAGAAACCATTTGTTGCACTTATTCATGGGATTACAATGGGTGGGGTAAGTGGACTGCTTACTTTCATCATTGATATGAGCTGTGGTTTTTTTTTTAAGTAAATAAATATAAATGAGGCACTAAATAAAAACTAAATATAAGCGAAGCAAGGAATGTAACACAATAAAGCATTAACTATTTTTGTAGAACTAATTGAAACAAAATCATCAAGGACTTGGGATCCTTGCATATTTGGGATATAATATTTGCTTGTAGCACCTTTAGACTATCTCAAACGAACAGAATATTTTGTGTTATTTCATTTGCTGTTTCAACTCCTAGCATAAGTAAATATTTTTAACCAACAGAATTTTTTTTAGTATGAAAAGCCTTTTTTCTACTTACTAGTGTACTTTCTTAGATTTGGACCTATTGAAAATAAAGAGTGCGTAGAATTATTTTAAATAACTTTGCTACAAGGCGTTGCAATTTTCAAAATTCCATCTATGGAGTGTTTCGGCGATGTCTGTATTTGCCACATGATCTTAAAGGTGTACAGTGAGTCTGGAAGTTCGGTAATGACCGTCATCTTCTAACTTCTTTCTTCTTCAAGACCATGTTGGCCGTTCCAGATCTTTAGTCTCTTCCCTTTAAGCATTAGAATCAGTTTGTTGATAATCCATAAAATAACTTGCCAAGGTTTTCATCGGGATTGCGTTGAATCTTTTGATCAAGTTCAGAACAATTATTGTCTTAATATTAAGTCTTCCTATCCCTAGAAAGCTCTAGTGATAAAGTGCGTTAAGTATTGGACTGCTAACTATAAGATTGGCAGTTAAAACTACTAGCTGCTTTGTGGGAGAGAGATGAGATGAGGCTATCTTTTTTGGTGAAGACGTACAGCCTTAGAAACCCTGTAAAACACTTCTGCTCTGCCCTGTAGGTATCCATAACTACAGAATATCTTACTTGTACTTAGATATTCTTCAGTTTCTCCTTGGAAATCTTGCACAGGTTATTTTTGCTGCCGTGGCGGCGGCCCTCCACTCATGGCTACTTCATGCACAAGGGAATATAACCCTGCTTCGTCCTGTTTCATCCCTATGACTGGTTCCAGATGGGCCCTTGTGATCTCTGTAGCGTTTCCATTGCTGATTATGGGAAGTGGAGCACCAGGCCTTTCTTCCTAGTCTGTCTGAAAGACCCTCTGACACTTGTTCAGCAACACAGCAACACATAGGCCTTCACTGGGAGATAGGTGGTGGCTGCATGAGCGACTGTGGTGAAGTGAAATTGCTTGGTATGGCTCTTTTAGCCATAGTCTTTGAAACTCACACCAAATGACTGGGTAACAACTCACTGCCTTCGAGTGGATGCTGACTTATAGTGACCTTAAAAGATAGGGTAGAGCTGCCCCTGTGAGTTTTTGAGACTGCAACTCTTTAAGGGAATAGACAGCCCTTTCTTTCTTTTGCAGAGTGGTTTCAAACTTCTGATCGTACGGTTACCAGCTCAACTCATAACCACTACACCACCAAGGCTCTTCCAGTGATTGGGTGGGAGCATGCAAATAGGTGTAGAGGATACTACCCCTTGGGGATCGGTCAGCTTTGCCATCCTGCTGGGTATAAAGTGAACCATCTCAGAAGTAGACAGAGAGAATCCCATAACCCTCAATAAAGAACAGCCACCAGTGGAGCTTCCGGAAGACCCCGTGGCAGCAGTAGTGGAGGCCTTCCAGAGGCCACGACATTGAGCCCATGAGCCACTGGAGTGCTTCCTGGCCCACAGAATGAGTAAAACTGAGTGCATTCAGGCAGAATGCTGGGTTGCAAAGTGTGATGCCCTTTGGGCATTTCTCAGTGCAAAACAGGCACTGTAAAACTTGCCAGAGCAGGGCAGAGGGCAAGGAATCACAGGGCTGAGAAGCTGTGGATCAGAGAGAGATGTGGCTGCCACTAAGGTCAGGTGTTGCTGTGGACCAAAGACTGTATCCTGTAGGGTTTATGATTTGGACTTGTGTAACCTATTCCCTTCCCTAATAAACCTCCATAATCATGACTACTGTCTGAGTTTCATGTGGTCATTACAGAAGATTATCAACCCAGCAGAGAAGTAGAATGCCTGGGAGCCTTGGTTGGTGTCACAATAGGGTAAATAGTGTCTGACCCCTGCCTTGGGGCAAATTGGTCTTAGGCTGATGTGGAGCTGTGTTTTTCTCCCTACTGAAGCCAGGAGAGGTCAGTTGTAGTCTCCACATCATTTCCTCAGGGGCTAGGAATGGTTGGGATTGGTTGGGAATCGAACTCCCAAATCTTTTCAGTGGAAAGGCGGGGAATTTTACCACTTAGCCACCATTGCCCCCTCCCACTGAACCCTTTAGAGGGTTTGTTAAAATACAGGTAGACAGCCTGAGATGTTACCAGATGATGCTGGGTGCTGACTGGGGCAACACGTGTAGAACCAGCACTAGACTGTGCTGAGAACCCATAATTTGTTATATCAAACCCTGCATTTTAAGAATTTTAAGTGGAATTTTAGTGCTCTACTTAATTATCATATACAAATATTTAAGTTATACCATGAAAGAGAGAAAATCAAATAGGTTGAATATAGCTTTACAGAATACTGATAATAAGTAATTTTCTGTGTTGATTTTGACTGATAAATTGATTCTGAAAAATGGATACTTGTTACTGTGGAGTCTCTCCCACTGTACTGTGTTCCAAAAGGCCTGCAGTGGCTGATTGTTGTTTTTAAGTAGATTGCCAGGACTTTCTTCGAAGTGTGTCTGGTGAACTCAGAACTTGATTAGCAGCCGAGGTTGTTAACTGCCTGCACCATCAAGGGGCTTCTCGCACTGTTTGGAGACGTTTATTGTCAAAACGTTTAACTGCCCAAGAGATGGCGCCATAGAACTGGATTTCGTTTGTTTTCACCCTCCTCTCATTTCTTTTTAAAATGTGGAACGCTAATGAATTTGTGTCATCCTTGCCATGCAAATCTTCTCTGTATCGGTACAGTTTTTTTTTAGTATATGTGCTGCCGAAGCGAGCACTCTCTGCTCATTTCTTATTTATTAATCTTTGATTTACAAAGTATGATCTTTTTTCTTAACAGGGAAAATGACAGTTATATTGTCGCTTACGTCTACCTTGTAGTGTAGCACAGTTTTAGAGGGAAGATAACTAAAATCTGTTCTTCATATTTCAGATTGTGTGCTCAATATTTTGGTAATACAATAAAATAAAAATTTATGTTGGAGTGACTCCACTTATTTGATCAGAATGATGTTAGATTTTGTCATTTGTTAGATTTAGCATAGTTCAATCCAAAGTAAAAATTTCATCTCCCTTTACCTTTTATTTTGAATATCTGAGGGTACATTTAAAAAAAGACAAAGTAAATTTGTTTCAAGATTTAAAATTTCAGATACAATATAAAAAAATCCGTATATTTAACTACTCTCATTTCTCTCGCCATGTGAATCGGTTTCTCTTTCTCCTCGTTCACAGTGGAAAGAAATGTTAGCGCCACATACCGTGTTCTTTAGGATGTTGCTAGCAAAAGAATTCTGTGATCAGTAACTGGGAAATTGAAGGTTTCAGTTTTAGAAGCGTGTGTGTGTTAGGGTGGGGTGGGTATGATCTGATTAACTGAAAAGTGTAATTGATATTGACGAGAAACAATGGCCATGTACAACATCGAATTATTTCCTTTACTGACAGACACAAAACAGCCACACAGGAAGTTGGGAGCTATTGAATCAGATTAAGCCTAACCACTGGTTAATGTCATTGAGACATGCTTTTTTCTTATTTGAAAAGACTTAGCAGTCTTCAAAGATCACAAAATGTTAATAATTGCAAATGTCTGCAAGACATCATAGCTACTTCTTTCCATCCGCTTAAAAGGTATTCTGTTCCTGCTGCTGTTAGTGACAGCTGAATAGATGAAATTTTAAGAAACCATTTTTACTATAATGAGGTGCTTTTTTTAAAAACAGCATCTAGACACTTAATGGGACTTGAGTGGTTATGAAATAAATTAAAGCATTTTATTAATTAAATAATACTTTTAGAGAAACTTTTGAGTTCAACTATTTAGGTAGACTTCTGCCCCCATATGTCATTTAAATTTCTTGATTTTTAAAATCATTATGAAATTCCTTACTGTGTCTACCCCGCAAGATGGATCTTAAATTAGAAAACCAATGAAGACATTTTGAAAAGATTAAATATAAAATACTTTGAAAGCCTGGAAGAGATTTTAAATTTACATTTTGCCAATCAGTTGTTAATGCTTGAGATTTCATGGTAAGAACTGCTCTTTGGCAACAAAAGGACGTCTTTAACATGCAGTAAAGGTAGACTCAGTGAGATTTGGTGCTGGGTTAAATGTAAGCAGAAGAGAAGCAGTCAAGAGGACTAATAGGCTTTGGCTGGGTTTTCTGGAGAAGCAAAACCAGATGCAAGAGTCAGACCATGCAAGAGTCAGACCACCAAGACAAACAGACCTTCCCATGGGAAGTACACACTCTGATATAGCTCCTTTCAGCTGATTGGCTGCTCATAGCCAATCTCATCTGGGAGATGATTATGTGGTTTTAATCTGATCATCCTAACTGCTGAAGAAGATAGAAAGAATACATAGAGCCACTGTACCAAAAAAAAACACAAAAAACAACAACCCAAAAAACTAGTTGACATTCCACTGTTTCAGGAGGTAGCATAATTAGCAATGGTGCTGAAGGAAGAAGTTCAAGCTGCACTGAAAGCATTAGTCAAAAACAAGGCTCCAGGAATTGATGGGAAAAATAAAGCACTGAAAGTGCTGTAGATCACAGTGATCCACACCTGTGGGTATGGAGTTGGCTGTGTGGGAATTCAACTCAACAACAGCTAACAAGGAGAAGTGGGAATCAAGGGGTAGAAAATTAGATGAACTTAAGATACAGAATTCACATTGAAATGTTTCAACCAGCTAATAGAAGCACCTTCCTCTTTATGCTGGGAAATTTGGAAGACAGGTACTTGGCCAACTGACTAGAAGAAATCCATATTTATACCCTTTATAAAGAAAGGTGTGACCCAACAGAATGCTCAAATTACATAACAATATCGTTAATACCACATTCAAGTGAAATTTTACAGAAGATCAACAACAGTTGCAACAGTGTATTGACAGGGAGCTGCCAGAGATTCAGGCCAGATTCAGAAGAGGACATAGAACAAGAGATATTGCTGATATTAGATGGATCCTGGAAGAAAGAGACTACTAGAAAGATGTTTACTTGTGTTTTATTGACTTTTTAAAAAGTAGATTGCCAGGCCTTTCTTCCTAGCCTATCTTAGTCTGGAAGATTGGCCACTGAAACACTGGACAGACAGGTGGTGGCTGCATATGAGGAACAATGACTGGGAATCGAACCTGGGCGTTCCACGTGATACTAGACAACAAGTATAGCCTCAGGACTCTTGTAGGTGCAGTATGCTCTAAAGTGCATGCCCTGTACCATGAATTAATTTCTAAAATGGAGGAGTGATGCTAGAATATTGCAAAAGCCATGTGTTTATAAGCAGGTGTTTTTGTTGTTGTTTTTTAATGCCAGGGAATGTAGGATTATGGAAATGAACAGAAAGTCTTCAGCTCGGAAGGAACAAAGTGCTTATATCAATTGTACTGTGAATATAAATTCTCATCAGATATATATTCTCATTATATATAATTACCTATTAAAAATGATATTTATATTAATGTATGAGAAGCTCATAGCCTATTAGTATAATGTAGGGAATGAATAAAAAGCCTTTGTTTGTACTGTGGAGCCTACTGATTTAATCACATTCTAATGCATGTGGCCCTGAATACATTATGAAATTTACTTCATAGGGTACTTTTAGACCTTAGTAAAGTACATACTATGGTGAAGAATCTATTTGAATTGCTAATAAAAATATACTCCTATTTCAAAGCACCACTTATAATCTTGCATGATGACAATAGACGACTCCCATATTCTCGGTCACTGCAATGGAGTGTTCATTCTGGGCAGAAGCTTACTCCTCTGATTAAAGTTTAAATTCATGACACTTTTTGTCAGTGAGGTCGCCCCACTGTGTGACTTTCTGAGTGGTGGCGTTCTCCTCTGATCTGGTCTGCTCACCCTGCTTTGGACCGTTTCTTTGTTCAGCACCAAAAGGAAGTGTCGCCCACGTGCTTAGCTTTGTGGAATATGAAATTCATGCATCTTACATCTTTTCCACTAGGGCATGCCATTAGTATACATTATGGAATGTCGACTATATGATAAACTAGATTTAAAGATCCTATAATTATGCTCTTTTTTAAAATTAGCAACTTTGTTGTCTTTCTCCCACCCCTGAATATTAATACTATCTACAAATATAAAAGTTAGCATTTATTTTGAGCTACTGATTGGCATATTGGCATTTTTAATGCCTGGTTCTTTAAAGTAATTATAATTCGATCTTTAAAAAACTGAAGTAAAGCTATGCCAGTTATTCCCCCATTGAAAAGTTTGAAAACTCATCCAGCTCTATCCCTTTTTAAAAGTCTTAGTTTGTCTAATTTTTGTCCTTAAAGATGTCAAATTTTCAAATAAATGACAGTGTTTTCGTGTTCCTGATGACAGAGTGTGAGTTTGAGTAAATTTATATTCTTGTTCCAATTTTGTTCAGCTGTTCTTTATGCTGGCCCACATTGACACTCTTTATAGCAGATTATAAATAAGGATCAAATTCATTTTACTTTACTGGCACAGTGTAAGTGCAGTGATGCAGAGATGATTGTTTCATAATGAGCTAAGTGAAAAAAACCTAAAAACCAATGGTGGGCAGAGTGCTTAAGAGACACCTTAAATGCACTTAGGATCTGTTGAAGACTATAAACCCTACAGCTGTCATGGCCGTTCTGACTCCCAACCAGTCTGTAGGACAGAGTAGAACTGCTTCAGAAGGTTTTCCAGGCTGTAAATCAGTATGGAAGAAGACGGCTACATTTTTCTTCTGGGAGCAGTTTGTGGGTTTGGACTGCTAACCTTTCAGTTAGCGACCCAGTCCTTAACCCACTGAACCACACACAAAGTAACTCACTGCCATCTATTTCCAGATCTACTCATAGGACAAGGTAGCACTGTCCCTGTGAGTTTTCGAGACTGTAGCTCTTGGGGAGTAGAAAGCCTAACTTTTTCCAGTGGAGTAGCTAGTGATTTCAAACTACTGACTTTGTGATTAGCAGCCCAACTCATAACTACAATGCCACTCCATGTGCAAGACTGCAATACGTAGCAGTTCTCAACTTGTGGGTCGCAACCCCTTTGGGGAGTCGAACAACCCTTTCACAGGGGTTGCCCGATTCATAACAGTAGAAAAATTACCATTATGAAGTGGCAATGAAATTAATTTTATGGTTGGGGGGTCACTACAACATGAGGAACCTGTATGAAAGGGTTGCAGCAGGAGGAAGGTTGAGACCACTGACTTAGGTCCGAACATATGAAAACGGATAGAAAAAGGTGAATCACACTAAACCTACTTTCGTATACACCGTCCTTATAGACATGGTTATGTTCTAAAGACCAGGATGCTAATGCACAATCAGCTTTAGGCAAGCAGGACGACTCAGAACTGCTGTGCCCTGGACCCCAAGGCCCTGCCATCCTCGGAGCCTGAGGCCCCCAGGCTAGATAGTTGCACCTCTGGGCTCAGACAATCAGCAGGACTGGGTGGTCAAGATGGTTGGGGGTGGTGGTGGCTGCTGCCAGTGCCCATGCCCCCTGTTTCTACCCTGTCTGCAGCCCCTGCAGGCTGAGGAGGAGCCCACGGAAATGCGCAGCACAGTACTGGTCTTGGAGAGCCCAGAACCAAGGTCGAGAGCTTAGAGGGTAACAACTGCCCGGAGAAAGAGAGCCGAGCAGCCTGAGGAATTCAGGCTGGTGATGGCTGGTGCTGCCGCCGCCCGCAAGGCCCAGAATAACCCCCTGTCCCTGTGTTGCTGTAGGACTTGGTCCCCCCAGGGAGTTGAGTGGAGAGGACCAGTAAGTAGGAGCAACCTCTCCCACCCGCCTAGTCTGAGACTTACGTATCAGACATTGTTCTGCATATGCTGAATTCATTAGCTCTGTGCTGTCAAAGATGGAGTTAAACTGCTTTTCAAAAAAATTGAGCAAGACTGTGAAGGGATTAAAACCCAAATAGCAGTTCTCACGAAGACTGTGAAGAATCTCAGTGGACACACACGACACGTGAGCCCTCATAACTCTCTCCGCCTACATGCCGCGTAGCCAAATGCAAGGGGCTTCAAAAAGTTTCTGGGAAAATGGAATTAAGAGAGAATGGAAATTTTCCACGAGCTTTTTGAAGGCCCATCTTATGTCTTTCGGTATTCAAAAGACGACTGCTTGTTTGACACAGCAACGTCAGAGTTTTGACTCAGTCTTATCTTCTAAAACTTGTATAACTCTAAGTTGCCCAAGTTTTAGGAGTAATGTCACCTCTATGAAATGTTGCACTTGGGAAAAAAATATGTGGATGAGCTATGTGAGTAATCTGTTAATATTTTGTCAAGATGACTGCAATTTGGTTGGATGTTTTACTGAACAAGGCAAGACTAAGTGATCCTGGGGAGAGTCAGTATTCTATAATGCTACATCTGTTTTGAATATAGGTGATTTGTCAAAGTGTCACAGGAATTGTAATACAGGAGACTTACTGAGAACTGTTAGAACAAAGCTCTTCCAGATAGGAGATATACTCATGTATTTTCCCTCCAAATTCTTTTGAAATAATGTGTCTTAAGGTTTTCTTCCTATGATCCTCCTGAATCAGACAGGTTTTTGTAGAGTATAAAGATAATTAATTTGCCTTGTACTGTTGGTATGTTACTTGTAAGTTTTAATTTTGTAACAATATTTATAAACCAAATATTTGCCTTATTTTCCTAGGGAGTTGGTCTCTCAGTTCATGGACATTTCCGAGTGGCTACGGAAAAGACTGTCTTTGCAATGCCAGAAACAGCAATTGGTAAAAACATAAAGTATATATATATATATGTATATATACATGTTCATACTTATTTTTAGAATCTTCCTTCGGTAAACTTTAGATGATATCCTGCTATTGAAGCAATTGATGGAATCTTGTGTGAGCTATAAAAAACAATGCTCCTTTATAAAGAAATTAGAATAGGAAGGTACCTTAGAGTTTTATTAGCCCAATGATTATGTCTGAAAACACAGAAGTAAGAACATTTAACTGGAGTACACAGTAAATCAATTGTAGATCAAAGATTATTTGCATAAAATATTCTAAATTTATGTCTGATCCATTTTGAGGTAACTTTTGTATATGGTGTGAGGTACGGACTAACTACATACATGAAATAATTTCTCCACTAATTGCCATGATACATTTGCCAGTTGTTTTCTATGTTGCTCTTGATGCCAGTACTACATTATTTTGATTACTATAACTTTGTAATAAGTCTCAAAAATCAGTTTTCTTTGAACTGTTTGTTTTTGTTTTTAACCCCTGAAATTTGCTTTGGTTCTTTAGTCATTTGCATTTCTATTAGACTTTTATTAGAATGAGTTTGTCAGTTTTGACAGTGATGATGACCAAAAAACAAACCCAAAACAAACAGCCCCCCTACACACACGCACGCACGCACGCACGCACGCACACACGCACGCACGCACGCACGCACGCACGCGCGCACCACCCCTTTGACATCTTAACAGTGAGTCTTCAGATCCAGAAGCAAGGTGTATCTTTCCTGCTTATTTGGCCTTTAAAGTTTTTCTCCTCAAAGTTTTGAAGTTTTAATTCTATAGGTCTTAGATTCCTTGGTAGGTTTATCCTTAAGGATTTTATATTTTTGATAGCGCTCTAAATTAAAAATTCAGTTTCTATTCATTGCATGTGCATAGAAATAAAATTGGTTTTTTTATTTTGAGCTTGTATCCTAAAAACTTGATACACCCACTTATTAGTTCTAGTGGTTTTAAAAATAGATTCTATTGTATTTTCTAGGTAGTTGTTATCTATTAAGTATTCGAAGATAATATTAATACACAAGTAAAATTTGTTTTCCTATTTCATCTAGATACCTTTTTCTTGCCTTGTTGTGAATAGAGCCTCTGGTATCGTGTTGTAGAAGTGGTGAGAAGAGACATTCTTGCCTTGTTCCTGATCTAAGGGAAAATATTCAGTATTTCACCTCCAAGTGTGATGTTCAGTGTAGATTTTTTTAACAGATGTCCTTTATACTGTATGAGGATGCTCTCTTCTGTTCTTAGTTTGCTTAGAGTTTTTATTAAGAAGGAGTAGATTTTGTTTAAATATTTTCCTCCAGTTGAGCTGAGCATACTGTTATATTTTTTCATTGGTTATAAAAAGAGTGCTGGTTAGCCCTGTATTGTTGTGATTAGCCCAGTATTGTGCTGCTAACTGCAAGGTTAGCAGTTCGAAACTATCAACTGCTCCGAGGGAGAAAGATGGGGCTTTCTACTTCCGTTAAGAGTTACAGCCTCAGAAACTCACTGGGGCGGTGCTACCCTGTGCTATAGGGTTGCTAGGCTGCAATCGGCCTGGTTGGCAGGTTGGAACCACCAGCAGCTTTGCGGGATGAAAGACCGGTTTCTATTCCTGTAAACAGTTACGGTCTTGGAGACCCAAGGGGTTGATATGAGTCAGCACTGACTGCATGGTATACTCTATTCTCCATGAGTAGGCTCGGGTCGATGGCAGTGAGTGTTTTGGTTTTTTTTGAGAGTAATAAAGTAAATTAAGTTAGGGGGATAAAGAGTTTGTAGGTATAAATCAGAAAAGAAGGGTGAAAGGGGTTAAAGTGGTTGTCTGATAAGAAGTATGTCAAAAGCAGGCCAGTTATGTATTTGAAAAAAATACTGTAATATTGAAGAAAGCATTTAGTTCAAAGACTCAGAGAATAAAATGTCTGTTGGAGGAGCACACTGGAGCCAACTGTGTGTGCACCGAGCACAGGTGTGAATACAGCATGTTCTCAGAGGAGCACACAGGGCCTGGAACACATACACAGGGTGCTCTGCTCTGAACAGTTTGGGTTTAAACCTAAGTATGATGGGAGGCCTTTGGAGAATTCAAAGCTGGGGCGGCAGTGGCATGACCTAGTGTAAACTTTATTATTCTGGCCCAGTGGAGGTTGGTGCATTGTAAGGGCGGGGTGTAAGAGAAAAGCAGAGAGACTGATTCAAGACGTCATGACATTAGTCTTGTGACATTAGTCTTGAGCCGTGCTGTCCTATAGGAGCCCTGGTGCGGTTGTGGTGTTGCACTGAACTGTGATCTGCAAGGCCAGCAGTTTGAAACCACCAGCCGCTCACAGAGAAAGACAGGGCTTTCTGCTATAAAAACTTTCTCCTGAGCCTTAGGAAACCACAGGGGCAACTCTACCCGGCCCAATGGGGTTCAGAGTTAGCATCGACTCACTGGCAGGGAGTTTGGTTTGGTTGAGGGCTGTCCTATATCATAGTCACTAATCACACATGGGATTATTAATGGCTTCTTTATTGGATACCACAAATTACAGAACATTTTCATAGTAGAAAGTGCTGTTGGGCAGCATAGATCTGAAAATGGAAAACTAGTTTGGAGGAGAGAGAACACAGAGTTGGAATCGACTGAAGGCACAGGTCTTTTAGCGTTCACTGGCCAGCTGATGTGAGGAGTCAGGAGTGCCTCCACGGGGTCTAGTGGGAGCCACTGAAGGGGCTGCGCCTGGGGAGGGAAGGAGCAGCGTCCTTGGAACGTTGGAAGTAAAGAGTTGTGTTCTGGACTTGTTGCCTTTGCGATGCCTATTAATTATCCATGTGGTTGTATCAAGTAGGTAATCTGAGAGTTTGACATTGAAGAAAAGGCACATCACAACATAAAGAGTTGGGAATGATCAGCATATGGAGGTTAATGTGCGGGGAGGGGGGGGGGCTGCTAACTGAGGCTAGAGGCTCAGGGTTACCTCTAAGATCCTTGGAAGAAAGTCCTTTGTGGGACACTTCTGAAAAACCAGCCATTAAGAATTTGGGAGGTGGGACAAGGTTCTACTTGAACATACATGGGAGATAACCATGAGTTAGAATCTACACAGTGACTGCTTTTTGTTTGTTTAAAGTCCTACAAGCAAAGGACAAAGGGATATGTTTGGAAAGAGAAAGCAGCCTCAGAGAGCCTAAACACAGCAGCATTCAGAGGTCAAGCAAAGCCAGCAGAACTGGCCAGAGTGACGGGGAAACAAGGGGGTGAGGGTGGGGGCTGCTGCCATGGGAGATGAAGTGCTGCCCCTGGAGAGTGCTGTCTCTGGCAGAATGCTGCTGGGGAAGTCAGATAGGAAGAGGGTGTAGCGTGCTCTGTGAACAAGAAGACCAGAGTGAGTGGGTGATAGGGAACTTGAAGACTTGGATAGAGATGCTAGCATGGCTTTTGTCTCAGAGCAATAGGTCACCACAGTAGAATGCACGATTGTGATCAATATTTGTGCTTTGAAAAGATAACTCTGGCTGTTGTGTGCAGAGCATTTGGAGAGGAGCCCGTGGGAGGCTGTTGTAGTAATGGCTTTAATAAGGTAGTGGTGGTAGAGATAGATATATAAGTTGTAATTAGGAGGTAGAATCAATAAGATTGTCTTAGCCACTTAGTGCTTGTTATAAAGGAGGTATGACAAATGGAAGGCAGTAACAAATTATTTTTTTCCAGTTTAGGAGGCTAGAAGTTTGAATTCAAGGTACTAACTTTAAAGGAAGATTTTTTTCTCTCTCGGCTTTGAGGGAAAATCTTAGTCTCTCAGCTTATGGTCCTCATTCCACATCAATCTTCTTGTAGCATCTACACTGCTTTGTCCATGCTTCCATGTCTAATGAGCTCCTTTGAGAGCTCAAAAGTGATTAGTTTAAAACATACCCTACACTCATTAACATAGTTAACATATGCAAAGAATTAACATAGCATTATGTTAATTCTCATTAACATAGCAAAGAAAACCCTCTTCCCAGATAAAATGACCACATGTCTCAGATCCATAACCCCTACGTAGGGACCTAGTTCTGTCCCTACTGAGGAGCTCGTCACTGGGAATGGCGGGCAGGTGGTAGGGGAGAAGAAGGTCTCAAAGCTGGATGGTTCGCCCTTGACTGAGATGGTATCAGTGGTGGGAGATGAGAAAGGAGGAGATGCTAAGACTTTTTTTACTACACTAGCTGCAGCTTGTTTTAATTTTAGGAATGTCTGTCAGACAAAGCACAAAAGCATTTTTTTTCTAAATTGGGAAGAAGTTGAGTGCTTGTGTTTTAATCAGTTTCATTAAATGAAACAATCTTAGGATAGATATATGGATTGTAAAATTAAAACAACAGAAAAAATTAAAGCTGAACTCACTATTCTCAGGTCAATTTCTGACTCAGAGTGACCTTAGAGGGCCGCGTAGAGCTGCCTTTTTGTGTTTCTGAGGCTGTAAAAAGTTACGGGAGCAGAAAGCCTCATCTTTCTCCTGTGGAACAGTGGTGGTTTTGAACTGCACACCTTGTCGTTAGCATAACAACTCGTACCCCACTGTGCCACTAGAATTCTTCTCACTGCCGTTGAGTCAGTGCTGATTCAGAATGACCCTGTTGAACTACCCTTGTGGGTCTTAAGAGACTGTAACTCTTTGTGGGAGTAGAAAGCCCCCTCCTTCTCCCATTGTCGCCAGAATTAGAGGGTCACAATTGCTTACAGTCCCCAGAAACCAAAAATGTAGTATGCTGGAAATCATTTGTGTGTATACTGTCTTCAGGTGCTACCAGTTGAGTAAGAGAATTAAAAAATAGATGGTTAGGCAAGTGGTAAATGGAAGTGATTTTTAAGTAAGCATAAGCTTATTCCTTTACAAGAATTAATGTTTATTGCATAAATCTGTAAAATAATATAAATGGAACTAGTGAATTTTTCTATAATGAATCAATCAGCATTTAGGTGATATTTTATTCCAATTTTTGGTTAAATAAAATTTTTTAAATTTCATAAACTCTTAGTAATTTAGTGGTGGGAAAATAGGGATAATGTTTACCGAGTACTTCTACTATGCAAAGCATTGTACCGTCTAACAATTCCATTGCTTTTTATAGAAATGAACCATGAAAAACAGCCAGCTAGGTATAATTTATTGCAAGTCTTTCATGAAATTGATTGCATTGTATAGTATTGGTTTTACCAATATTTTTAGTATAAAATCAAGCTCCTGAGAGAAACAGCTATCTTTCTAATCTAGAGTAAATAGAGTTACCACATTGATCTCTTTTGTTTGAATCATTGCTATCTTTTTGTTATTTGAATTACAGGACTATTCCCTGATGTGGGTGGAGGTTATTTCTTGCCAAGGCTTCAAGGAAAACTTGGATACTTCCTGGCATTAACAGGGTTCAGACTGAAAGGAAGAGATGTGCTCAAGGCAGGAATTGCTACACACTTTGTAGACTCTGATAAGGTACGTTTGGATGGCTGCGTTCTGTGTCATTGGGGTAACTAGTACTGCATGGGGTGGCAGTTGTTAGGCATGATGTGAATCCTAGGCTATTGCCTGTAGCTCTGTGATCTTCTGGAAGGTACTTCAGTTCTCTAATTCAGTTTCCTCTTATTTAACATATGTAAAGTGGAGACAGTAATACCTGCATTCAGTTATGATTCAGGATTCAGGAGTGTATTGTCCGACACATACTCTGTACTCAGTAGGTATTTTTTTAATGAATAATTAATTTTTTAAAAATCTTAACCTGTTTTTTAATATGTAATATTTAAAAATCTAAGTTATATGTAAAAAGATCGGGTTTCATGTTATAAATGCATTTGTAAAAAGTTCTCTGTGCGTTTCTCCAGTGCAGTTAGAATAATTGCCTTTGTAAAGTATTATCTCACAACTTTTTCTGAGGCATCTATGAGGGGGCTTCAAAGAGTTCATGGAAAAATGGAATGAAAGGATAATGGAATTTTTCCATAAACATTTTGAAGACCCCACATTTGTTACAAAGGACTCATTATCGTTTTTTTGTTCTTCTTTACTATTGTGGCCAGTTCTGTTAGCACGGAATAGCAAAGTGGCAGAGAATATGCCTACAGACGGCGGGCCTTACATCTCAGCTTGCATTGCAGGCCTCCAGCCTCCCGTGGCTCCACCTCCCCAGTCACTGATACTCCTGTAATGGGAAACTCAGCTCGGGGCAAGCTTACCCCAGATGTCCCCCTGGACTGACTGCTTCCGCTGTTTTGGTCTCGAGGATGGGGGGTGGGGAGGGGTTGCTGTTGGGTGAGCAGTGCTTGACAGCGCAAGCCCCTCAGTCCAGTGGGACCCATTACGCCCCCAGGACCCTTCTGGGAAAGAAGATGCTTTCGCCACTCGCCTTGGGTTCTTCCATCGTTACCCTTCCTTTCTAGGCAGTATTTGCTGTGTGGGAAGAGGTGTGGATGTGATCTCCGTGAAAAGCCCCTTTGGACCAAGCTAAAGAGAGAGAATTGCAATTTCAAGTTAAAGATTCTAAAAAGGGACATGAGATCCTTAAAATTTAAGTTATTCCATTTTTATAGGGTTTTAAATCTGTTTCCCTTTCCCCCTCTCAGTTGGACATGTTAGAGAAAGATTTATTAGCTCTGAAGTCTCCTTCCAAAGAAAATATTGCAGATGTCTTGGAAACTTATCAGACAAAGGTAATCTTGTCAACATTCTTACCTCAGACTTTAATGCATAGGAAAAGGGGGGAGCTACTGAAAAAATATTGTTGGTTAATATTATTGTTTGTGGGTGTCAATAAATGTACTGGGGATTTATTTGTGCTAAAGTTCCGTAGGGGTGGGCGGGGAGTCGGTGCCTCATAATTACTAGGTTAGCCATTTAATAAAATGACCTCTTTACTGTGCACCTTTCCAGGCTACCTGGTTGGTGGTGGCTTGCAGTGCGTGTGCAGCCTCACGCTCACCCTCTGCAAGAGCTTTTTACAGCACAGTGTGGTATCTCTGTCGGGTCCAACACGAACATTTGTGAAGTTGCTAAAATCAAACTCTGATGCATAGCTATGTATAATAATCAAGCGTCTTCTAGTATTTATTTTACTTCCTTCTTAAATTTCCTTTCAAGAGCCAAGAGTCTCTAAAAAGTCTATATGACTTACGGCTAAACATGATGACTTAAGTACATGCTCTTCCTTAAATGCCACTAAGACTAGAAGGGGTCGGAGAAAAGGAGATCGTGGAAGATGTACTGTCAACATTTTGGAAACAGGAAAGCAGAAGGAGCACCTCATTTAGACCTGAGGATGCTGCAATCTTATCCTTAAATGGTAGATAAGCTAGCTAACTTTTGCTATTGGCCATTAGACCCCACTTTTCTCTGAAGACAGTGTGCAGTGGAACAGTAAAACAGGAAGATTTTGTTGTTGCTGCTGCACATTTCTATAAGGAGCTGCCGTTAGAATCTGCAGAAGTTCTGTACAACCAGGAGCAGCTACCCTCCCCTAGCCTGGCAGAATAGTTAAAGACTCCTTGGAGGGAGAGAATCAGACAGGACAAACTGAGGGGTGTGTGTGGGGGGGGTTGCTCTCCTGCAAAGAGATGGTATCTGCTAGTTGAGAAAGACCTCTGACCCCATTCTCTATGTGGCATCCATGAACCGAGTAAGACATTTTTAATAAAAAAGAAGGAAAACCTATAGATACTAACAATCAAGGGCCCTTCTTGATGCACCCGGCTCCCTTTCTGATCATGTTACACTGCATCGTACAGTTGACAAACCCATCATTACTATTTGTGATACACACAAACCCCCCAAGATAGGTTGATGACTCACAGAAAAACCAGGATCCCCAGGCATGTAGGAAATGCTTTAACATCAATCAGTATCAGCTAGAACAAGCGAAAAAGATAATTGAAGGAAGCAGATAATACAGGGAGGAAAAAGGGAAAAGGGAACTTAGAAAATTTAACCATATTATCATTTTCTTCAGCTAAGAGGCAAATATTTCATCCGTGAAACTACAGATGTAAGAAAATAAAAATGTTAACAAAATTGGCACGATGTAATGAAGTAGATGGTAGAGGAAACAAAAGAAGCAGTAAAGAAAGAGTGAGATGGAAAATGATCCAGAAACCCCAATATATAATTATTACTCAAAGGAAGATGACAGAAGTCAGGAAATATTTAGAGAAATAGTACAAGAAAATTACCGCAAACGGAGGAACATGAGCGTGCAGATTGACAAGACCTATTGAGTGCTCTGTAAAGTGAATGTGAATATTGAGCAGCATAGGAAGAATTTTCTCAGTGACAATGCTGACAGCAAAGCATTGATTTGAAACGTAAGCCGACTGGGTAAAGAATGCAGATGAAAAGGGGAAAAGTCCTCACGTTTGAGAGAGCTCCGTTTATAGAGTGACATTGGAAGGCTAAGTGACAATCTCGCCCTGGAGTCCAAGGCCCCAAGTTTCTCAGAGCATGACGGGAGTTTCTCAGAGCTTCTTCCAATGACAGATTTTGTTCTGAAATGATGTTTTAACTGATTGCATCTGAGTATAAGTTAACAGCATGAGGGAACTGCTCCGAACTAACCCCAAGCTAGTCCGCATCCTGCAGCTAGACCAGACGGGGGTGGGGGTGGGGGGGCGGGGTGTGTGTGTGTGTGTGTGTGTGTTCTCCTGGTCTGTGTCACTAGGAGAGTGGCCTGGAGACACTGGAACGTGTCTGTGAGGAGACTTAGATTGTGGGGGACAAAAACACTGGGATGTGAAGCACAATGAAGGCAGGAGAGGAATGAAGTGAATGACCAACATAAGGCATGAGGTGGCTGGCTTTTGGTGTAGACCTAAAAACAAATGGACAAAATTAATAATTACAGTTATCCAGACACTTGTGAGTTCCTTCTGAAGATCAGCTTTCTCTCCTTGGAAGTCAATGCTGCCAGTCTGGCAGGGATGTGATGATGGAAATTTGCACAGATTGCTTCTCAGGTTTCTAATGATCTTTAATCTGTTGACACATTTTAGTGATATATGCATTATGCAAATAACCATACAAGAACAGGTTATTTAACACTTTTTCCCCAAAACCATTTTATTGGGAGTTAATACAGATATCATACCATTCCATAGTTCATTAACATCAAGCAGAATTGTACAATTGCTTCCACAATCAGTGTCCAAACATTCTTTTCTTTCTTGAACTCCTTGTCATCAGCTCCCTTTTACCCGCCTCCCCACCACCACTATACCCCCCAGAAATCCTTATACCACTTACTGTCCCTATAGGTTCATCAATCCTGGGTTTCATATACTGGAAAACAGAAAAACATAACAAAAATTCAAGATGGTGTTCCCCAATGACATAACACATTTGAGATAAACCCTAATATGAATAAACAACAAAAAAAATACAGAAAAGGTTGAAAACTAGATCAGGCCTAACACTCATCAGAGGGGCATTAACTGACAAGGTTGATCATTTTGATCTTCCGTAGTCATCTCCCCAGTGCTCTGTTTGGTAACCACTCCCCCATCCCTCTATTATGGATAGAGGGTCAACACCGAGGCTTATTTCCTATGTAGATCTCACATTATATACCAGGGGGATGACGAATACAACTCTCTACCATAAATTAACAAGGAGGTTATGAAAGGGAGCCAACGGCAGATTAAAACAAAACATAGATCCAGGAATGGATTTAGGGCTCACACTAAATCCTACTTACAATTTAAGAACAATTCACTCTTACATCCTGGTCCTGCTTGACATTCGCTCTCAGGAAGGGAACACAGGTGATGGGTGCTATAGCAAAATGTGGCAAAGAAATTAGATGGTGCCCAGCTATCAGATAAAATAGCATCTGGGGTCTTAAAGGCTTGTTTCCAAACAAGCAGACTTCTAAGTGAGCTGTCAACTAAGTTCACATGGAAGAAGCACACCAACATCAGTGACCGAAGGATTGTAGATCATAAAATCCAAAGTGAAAGGAGGGATTATTATCAGAGCCTCAATTGTGAGAATCTGGTTTGCAAAGGCTATGGATGACAGAGGGAGCCCGAGATTAATTTGTGGGATCCTTTAACACTTTTGAGACCTAGTTTGGTGTGATACATGGTGTCTGAATTTTGAGCGCGTGGTAGTAGTTTATAAAAGCCTGCTAGATGTAAGTTGCATGCATATGATAATTCACTGTCAGGAAGTGTATCATGAGATTTTTGAAGGATTTTTTTGTTACTCCAAATTGATGGAAGGTTTTTCTTTTAACAGTCCAAGATCAATCAAGACACATCTTTCATACTGGAGGAACATTTGGATAAAATAAACAGGTGCTTAAACAGATATCTCATTTCTCTCTATTCCTTAGGGAAGCCTCTCTTAAATTAAATTTGCTAATGCTGCAATTATATTGTGCTTGAACTTTATATAAAAGTTAGAGATTAGAGATTAGATTACACAGTGTCTTGCTTTTTATTTACCTTTGAAAGTTGCTTCCTGTCTTTTAAGGGAAAATAAAGTAATCTGCTATGTTCATTCACTTTAGGGAGGTCGTTTTTATTAATTTTAAGTAGGGAAGAGGGGCTAGAAAATAATCACCGAATTAACATATGCTCGGTCCTGGTGATGAAGTGGTTATACCTGGGACCGCTAATCGCAAGGTCAGCAGTTTGCGACCACCAGCGGTTCTTAGAGAGAAAGACAAGGCATTCTGCTCCCTTGAGGAGGCGCGGCCTCAGAAACCCGCCCTCCGGGCAGCTGTCCTGTAGGGCACCATGGGTGGGCATCGACTTGGTGGCATTTTGGTTTTGGTTTTGATCCTTGTGAAGTCATCTTCTTTGAAGGACTTAGGTCAGTTATCAAAAAGTTTTGTTTTATTTTTAAACATTTTATTGAGGGCTCTTACAGCTCTCGTAACAATCCATACATCAATTGTATCAAGCACATTTGTACATATGTTGCCATCATTATTTTCTAGACATTTATTTTCTATTGAAGCCTTGGTGTCAAAAATTTTTTGTCCGGTGAGCTGAGAGATTAGAATTTTTTTAAGGAAAATAAACGATTGGACAATAAATAAGACAAGTGTTCATTTTAAAGCATTGTTTTTTAGTTTTTCATATATATATATGTATATGTGTGTGTGTGTGTGTGTGTGTGT